TTTCTTTCGACAAATTTGACAGGGCTATCGAACGCCGTTTGAATTTTCCGGATCCGTCCAGTAGTTTCGGAGATACGAGGGGGGGGGGGCAAAAAATGCCCCCCCCCCCCCACCGCGTGGAAGGTGGCTGGGAGGCCCACCGCCTGCCGGGTTAAAGGTAGTGTGCCACCTTCCAAAGATTTCCCATTTATTTTTCCTAGGATAAGAAGCTTCTGTTTTTACCTAATATCGCAAAAAAAATCAAAAATGGGCCTAAAATAGGGCTTTTTTTCGCCTAAAAGTTTATCGGTTTTTCGATATGTATAACAACTGTAGTGGGCTGCAATACAATACTTGCAATACTTAAAAGAGAACGGACGGTCGGCGCTTTTTCTTAGCCTTGATAATGAAGGTGCGTTTAATTCCGTAAATTGGACTTTCGTGAGAGAAACACTCAAGGCGAGGAATTTTCCAAGTTACATATTGCAATGGTTTGACTTGTTATGCAACGGCGCTTATTCAAGACTTCTGTACAATGGTCATATTTCAGACAAAATCGCTTTGGAAAGGTCATGTAGGCAAGGAGATCCGTTGAGTTGTTATATTTTTCTTTTAATGATGGAATGTTTGCTGGAACAAATACGGGACAATAAAAGCATAATAGGAGTCTTGGTGGGCAATACAGAATATAAGTTATCATGCTATGCAGACGATGCATTATGTTTTCTCGACGGTAGTGTCAACAGTTGTCGAGCTCTGTTTCATGACCTCGGAGTTTTTGCAAAGTACTCGGGACTCAAGCCAAACATAGACAAGACTGAAGCATTCTGGGCCGGGGCTAACGTGGAAGATAAAAGTACAATTTGTGATGAATTGCATTTCACGTGGGTCAAAAAGCTTAAGGTGCTTGGTGTGTATTTCGCAAATGACGACGAACAAGTTTTCGAGGAAAACTTTGAAAATAAGCTAAATCAGGTGAAGGCTACAATGAAACAGTGGAAGCGGAGACTGCTAACTATTAAGGGCAAAATACTTATTGTGAAAACTTTACTACTCCCTAAGTTTACGCATATATTTACGTCCCTTCCAAAACCAAAAGATGCATTCATTCAAAAGCTTAGGCAAGAGTTTTTTGCTTTTATATGGGGTAGTAAGGTGGATAAAATAAAAAGAAAGAGCATTTATAAACTTGCAGCATTTATAAACTTACTTTCAATTGCGGCATTGAAAGTAACATGGGTTAGAAGATATATTGCCGAATTTCATATGTGGCAGACATTGTTCGAGCATGATATAAGTAACAATGAATTTATTTGGGATAGGAATGCTCGTTCAATGCAAAAGCTGGCTGCTAGAATAAAAAATCCCTTTTGGAAGGAAACATGTAACGCGTTTGCGGCTCTGACATCGACTATTGACATTGACTGTGAAGAGTTAGGTCGCTGCAATTTATGGTTTTCAAATGAAACTAAGTTTCACGAAAGTGAGATTTTGGAGTGGAGAAGAAAAGGGCTGCGTATTGTAGACGATATTCTTACACCGTCAGGCGAGATTCAGACATATGATCAATTCAAGGCCAGCTTTCATATTAAAGGCACGTATTTAGATTTTGAGGGGCTAGTAAAGAGCTTAACTAGAAGGTGGCGAAGTCAAACTAATAAAATTAAGCACCCAAGGCCGGTATGGCATCCATACGTAGCTTTTGTTATGCAAACTAATCGTGGTGCCAAACTTTTCTATGATAGGTTAGTTGCCAGTAAATACAAGAGAAGTTCAAACAGTTGGGAAGCTAAGTGGGAGATACAACTTGGAGATGTCGATTGGGGGGAAAGTTACATCTGTTTGTATAGGTCAACCCCGTCGGTTAGGCTGCAGATGCTACACTACAGAATTCTGACACGGACCGTGGCCACAAACATTCTCCTTTGTAAAATAGGGGTCAGGGAAACAGATATGTGTATGAGGTGCAAGACTTATCGAGATACAATAGAACACAGATTTTGGGAATGTTATCATGTGCGAGAATTCTGGACTACCGTCAAACAGTGGCTGGACTCTCTGGGCGCTTACGCTAATTGCGAGTTAACGAAGAAGACGGTTTTGCTGGGTGGCATGCGAAACAGCCTACTGAATCACGTGGTTGTAGTGTGTAAAGATATTATAAATAAGGACGGCAGACTTAGCCTGGACCACTTCATAGCGCGTATTAGAATAGAGAGAGACATTGAGTTAGATATTGCAACAGAGGTGAAAAAACCCTGCTACTCGCCTGCGTGCGTAGGTGACAGCCATAGGCATAAAGAGACAGATTCGAGCATCTCGGTTGATGCATTTAAAATATATAACTAGTCCGTTTCCGCTAAAATCAGCGCTGTCTTCCCATAGAGGGCCGCTATGGACCACGGCACAAAAATTTAACAGCGTCATCTCTTTGTAGACAGCTGGAGCTGAAAAATCCCGCCGGTGCGACAGCCGGTGCGTTGTGAAGCGCCATAGACAACGCAGGAAAAACGGCGACAGCGCGACAGCTCGTCCCCGCTCGTCGCCGGTTGAACGGAGGCGGGGACCGGCGCGGCCGGCGCGGCCGCCGGAGTAGGGAAGGACCGGGCGACTGGGACGGGGGACGTCACATCTGGGCCACAACTGGGGTGAGGTCCATGACCATCGGTCCCAGAAACTTGGTAGGAGCGTTGATAATTGGTTCTGACTACTGAAGCAAAGGCAAGTGAATCAGTGACAACTGACAATCCTTTCGTGAGTTCTGATTGAACTGGTCGGATCAGGAAGCCAGGACGAGCTAGGACGTCGATCAGACCTATAGGTAAGTTGCATGGTAGTGATTTATTTTTGTTGTGTTATGTCACTGAAATGTGGTCATGCGTTGTCCGAAATCTGAAAGGTCCGAAGTTTGAAAGGTCCCAGAGTCCGAAGTTTGAAAGGTCAGTTTCATAGCATTCTAGCCTTATTTTCAATTTTTTAGGCCTAAAAAGGTGATGAGAAAACGTCAAAAAGTACCTTCTGTTTCAAGATTACTTGTAAAAAATTGGTGACAGCTAGACATCGCGTAGGTGACAGCTTTTGAGTTTTATTCACCTCTGTATTGCAAAATGGAGTGGTACAACAGATAAACACGCTAAAAAATGGAGTGCTGTGTCGGAGGTTTGCTGATGTAAGAAAGGTTACACCGCAATGTAGCACATGACGAATGACAATGTGTATTCAATAAAAGTGAAAAAAAAACTGTAGTGGGCTGACCTGCAAACAGGCGTCGGCAACAATCGCGAATGCGGCGCACATGTGACAATAAGCAAAGGTCATTATAGAGTTACGACGTACGGGAATGAGTTATCAGCTGTCTAATCGTAGACAACACAATGTCGAATTTAAACTGTAAGCCTGTATTGTTATTGTTTCTTTAATTTGGCTGTCGAACATTAATTTATGGTTTGAAATATCATTTTATGTAAAATAATTGAATGAAACAGCCGTCTCTAAAGTTATGACCCCATCTCACCACATGAAAGTGGCAGAAATGACAATGATCAGCTGACGCATTTTTCTTGGCCGAAGTCAGAGCGCGCAGCCCGACGCACCACCACCGCACCACAAAGTATGAGCAGAAGCCACCTGCGGTAGACCGCGCCCAAAGCCAGGGCCCCGGTAACGTGAGGTAGCCGAGTCGGGGCAGCGTGCGCTGACCCAAGCCGGGGCCGCGGCTTTGGGCGCGGTCTACCGCATCCCCGGGCAGCCCCGGGCTATCACATGACACCGGGAGGACGCGCGGCCCCGGCTTGGGTCAGCGCACGCTGCCCCGACTCGGCTACCTCACGTTACCGGGGCCCTGGCTTTGGGCGCGGTCTACCGCACCCAAGGCGTGTTCGAAACCGCAGGAGATGATGATGAACGGGTTTATCGAAACTTGATTGGATGAGCCTATCGGTAATAGCGATTTCAGTGTGTGCATTTATTGTTCATAGTGGTGTGAAATGTGGTTGGGGTACGACCGACAACCCGTCGGGGCGAATTTCGCACTGGGGTACTCAAAATTTGAGGGATTTAAGACGTTTCCATGAGTTTTGAAGGTATGGATAAGTTCTAAAAATCCGGTTCTCCTTATCTGGGCCTTTAACCCTCGCCCGCACATACCATTTTCCCATCCTAGAACGCACATGGGGGGGGGGGTTGGATATCAAGTGCGTTGCTTATCATATACCGATGACGATGCTGTTTTCTGGTGCCAAGCCAGCTAGAACCTCTTTGTCACACTACCCGACCAGATTTTTGCTGCTGAGGTCATTTCAGGTCAAGTTAGGTCAAGGTCAATGATATGTGTTTGTATGTCTGTGTGTGTCTGTGTGTATACTGATGTGTGCACTGATTGTTTTGTGTCCATATTACATGAAATCATGATCTGAGAAGCTTTTACCAAAAAATGCAGTCAAAAAACTTCACAAAAAGTAAATTCAGCTTGCCTAAAACGCAATTATCTTAGATGACCTAGGTTGACCTTGACCCTGACCTTGACATCTGTACATCGTCGAACAACATGTTCCATGATAGGTGGGAGGCAAGATTGGCAAAAAGTCCGAAATCAAGGTGTCAAAAGCTCACAAGACCCATGGCAAACGCAAGATGTTGAGAATTGGCCATTTGGGTCATGACATGACCTGAAAAACAAGGTCATATCTCCGAAACCAAAAATCACAGAAACTTGAAATTTTCATTGGACATCAAAAAAGGATAGAGGAGCAGCTATACGAAAATTCAGCCTTCTAGCTCTAAAAATCTTGAGTGCAGAGCAGAAAGACTACCTGGGGGTAGCAACCCCCCATGTGCGGGCGAGGGTTAATGCCCATTTTTATAGTGGGCAAATCTCGACGACTGGGGGGCAATTCTGTTGAGTGCGGGGCATTTGCCCCCCCCCCCCCAGTTAACGTTAAAAAAGGCCCTGTAATCCCTGACTGTCTTACCCCACTTTCCCCTACCTGTGAGTCTGACGTGAGTCTGACCGTATATTTCAGGCACATCTAAGCTCTCCCTCAGTCGGACCTGCCAAAGATGCTGTCTGAAGAATGTGCCGTGTCCGGCCATCTGTGATCTGTTCCCCTGCACTAAGCCGGCAGCGGGAACTTGTCCGTACGAGCAGGAGTCTTCGATCGCCTGTGACGGCTCGCCGTCGGATGACACGTGCCGTGGAGGCGGCGCCTGCCCGAGCGGCCAGCAGTGCTGCAGGGACGGCTGCCGCTACCGCTGCCGACCCGTGTGCCGGCCCGCCTGCGGCCCCGACCAGCGCTGCATCCAGCCGACCATCCAATGCGTCCGGGCGCCCTGTCCACAGCCACCGCCGCAGTGCCAGCTGCTGAAGAAGCCCGGCACCTGCCCCGTGAACCGTCTTCCAGCCGGAGCTATTTGCCAGAGGCCGCTCACCAAATGCGAGGACGTCAAATGTCCCGGCGATCAGAAGTGCTGCAACAACGGGTGTTTGGATGTTTGCACGCCGCCCTGCCTGCCGGAGTGCGGTCCCGGACGGCAGTGCGTGCTGAGGAAGTCGGCGGCCTGCCTGGGTCTGGACTGCCCGCCGCCGCCGCCGCCCGTCCCCCAGTGTGTGCTGAAGGACCCGTGCTCCGTGGTGCGATGTGCCGCCGGCTTCCAGTGCGTGGTGGAGAACTACGAGGCAAAGTGCAAGAAAATGGAGCCGAAACCCGGCACCTGTCCAATCAACGACCTCCTGCCGGTGATCTTGTGTCCGGCGAACGCCACTGACCACTGCTCAAACGACTTTGAATGTCCAAGTGGCCAAAAGTGCTGCAGCTATGGGTGCAAACTCAACTGCGTGAGCGCCTGCGTGCCGGCCTGCGGGGCCGGTGAGCAGTGCGTGCTGCCGCGGCAGCCGTGTCTGGGAGCCGACTGTCCGCTGCCCACACCGGCGTGCCGTCCCATCGACCCGTGCTCAGTGGTCGACTGCCGCGCCGGCGAGCGGTGCGTGGTGCGAAACGGCACGGGCCGCTGCGAGCCGCCGCCGCCGCGGCCCGGCCAGTGTCCGGCCGCCCCCGACCTGCTCACACCCTGCGTCATCACGGACGACGCGTGCCGCTCCGACCAGCAGTGCCGGCCGGGCGAGAAGTGCTGCTCGCTCGGCTGCAACAAGCAGTGTCGGCCGGCGTGCCAGCCACCGTGCCGTGCCGGCCGGAGGTGCCGAGTGGAGGTGGAGCCCTGTCTGGTGCCACCGTGTCGGCAGCGCGCGCGCTGCGTGCACGACCGACCGGCCCTGTGTCCGCCCAACAGGCGACCCGGGCTCTGCGTCATCACCGAACGCTCGTGCTCGTCAGACGCCCAGTGTCAGTCCAACCAGAAGTGCTGCCCCAGGGGCTGCGGCCGCGAGTGCGTCCCAGTCAGACCGGTGACACGCCCGGGAAAATGTCCTCCTAATCATCCAGATATCATCTGCAAGTTTGAGAAACATAGCTGTAATTCGGATAAACAGTGCAGAATCGGTCAGAAATGCTGTCTTCGCGGCTGCGACCGTAAATGTGTAACAGTCAAGCATCTGAGGGGATGAGTGAGGTAGTCTAGATAGCAAGTGCTAAGCGTGAACTACGGCTGCACAATTCACTGTAGGGCCTTGGATAACGAATTTTCGCTGGGTGGGCAAATGCCAGAAGTTTACCCGTAGAGCAAAATTACGTACCTATTTACCATTTTTCGTTTTAGTTTAGTTGCTAGGATATTCCTAAAGAACAGGGATGTTACCCACATATGATGAAGTTTTTGTAGTATCGCGGCGGGTCACGGAATAACAGATTCAGCTCTGAGCCGTCAATGTATTTTCTTGAATGCTAAATACGAGACAAGTCGGCGTTATAGCGGTTCACTCCCGACTGTATGTAACTGGAGAGAGAGAGAGAGAGAGAGAGAGAGAGAGAGAGAGAGAGAGAGAGAGAGAGAGAGAGAGAGAGAGAGAGAGAGAGGGAGGGGGAGGGAGAGAGAGAGAGAGGGGAGGGGGGGGAGGGAGGGGGAGAGGGAGAGGGGGAGGGGGAGAGGGAGAGGGAGAGGGAGAGGGAGAGGGAGAGGGAGAGGTAGAGGTAGAGGTAGAGGTAGAGAGAGAGAGAGAGTGAGAGAGAGAGAGAGAGAGAGAGAGAGAGAGAGAGAGAGAGAGAGAGAGAGAGAGAGAGAGAGAGAGAGAGAGAGAGAGAGAGAGAGAGAGAGAGAGAGAGAGAGAGAGAGAGAGAGAGAGAGAGAGAGAGAGAGAGAGAGAGAGAGAGAGAGAGATCATTGACCCTTGATGACCTCGGTTCACTTTTTCGAGTTCTACATGTTTCTAAGCCAGTTTTTGGAGCTGAATTCGAATTTAGCAACCATATGAACATTTACGAAGAAGTTTTGGTGCCTTCGTAAAATGTTACGAAGCTGTCAGAGGCGGTTGCCACCTACTACGAATACCCTTACTGGTTGACCTGACCTGACCTGACCCGACCTGGCCTAAAGGCATGAATGCATCAGTGATCAAAACTAACATTATTCGTTATCAATATATAACATATATTAACATTATATTCGTCATCAGCACCCCAAAAAACAATGGCAGCCACACTTAACGACGTTGTAACAGGTCCCGATTTTCCCGACTTTTGGGTCATTGACCTGACCTGGAAGTTCAACCAATGACCTAGGACCTTAATCGAAAGTACCGAGGGCCGGTAGGCCCGAGGTACTTTCGATTTAAAACCTCGGTGACACCATTAAATTTTCCCAGCCTCGGGCAGGAATGTATTAGAGCACCTCGATGCCCTCTGCCTGCAGGGCATCCCTCGCCACGAGGGCACGGTGAGGATGCGCGCAATCCTGGTGGAGGATGAACCGACCACGGGCCTTCTCGGGGCGGCAACTGGCGATTACTGGCAGGAGATGGTCTCTAATGATCCTGGCGTAGGCTTATGTATAGGCTTTCTGTTATCGCCTGGACAGTACTCTTTCTGTTGGCCATCACCATCTCCTCCACTTTGGCAACGTTAGTGGCTGTGACCATCGTCCTCAGCCTGCCTGCACGTGCCAGGTCGCGCACGCTCTCCCTCCCCTCCCCAAATTTTTTCTTCCGCTTCCGAACTGCGGAATCACTAAGAGCATGGCTCCCGTACACATTCACGAAGTTGGCGTGGATGTTAGCCGCCGGCTAGCCCTGGATAGCTAGGAATCGTATCACTGAACGTTGATCCTCTCGGGTGGCCGATGCCATTTCTAAAGCAGTCTGAAAAACGATGTTATTTGATCTGCTCCAGTCCCGATTTACCCGACTTTTGGGTCATTGACCTGACCTGTAAGGTCAACCAATGACCTGAGACCTTAAAATTGGGTATCATCGGCTTTCTCTCGTCACGGGCAACACGCCCGTTTTTTCCGCGAAGCTCTAGCTCGATCAGGGGCGAAACGGCAAGGGGGTCCAACGGACCCCCCCCCCCTCCCTTATACGTTCGCGGCTGGAAAAACACCAATACGGGCGAGGGTTAAATTGGAGTAACAGTGAAGGAAGTTTAGTAGACGAGGTATCAAGAGTTAAAGAGGGAGTAGGTATCCGGAAGAAGTAGAGACGTAAAGAGTACCTAAGTTTTGAGATTAGAGTAGTTCTGAAATCGAGGCAGTCGAGGTATTTGAGGAGACCATAGTTTGAGAGTATTTATGTTCTTGAAGGAAGTTAATGACAATCCGTGGAGTGGTGCCGGGTATTCATGAGAGGTGGTGGATGTGAGAGCCCCTGTAAAAGTTAGTGAGGCCGGTAAGTCGTAATCAGCGGGATACGCAGCGTTAAGTCCTCGGAGTCGACGGGCTCCCCCCGTAAAAGTTAGGCCGAGATGTGGTGACGTCGAGTGACGTGGTGTCGGTGCAGTGTATGTTGTGGTGTTAGTGGTAACTCGGCAGGCCGACGGGCCCTAAATTGAGGCAGGCCTGGGATGGGACTGCATGGTAGCCACCGGTGACTTTTTACTTAGCTTCTTTGTTAGATGGCGGATAGCAGACAGAAGATGACACTTAAGACCTTGTTAGCGAGAACGTTTGCATTTCAATGGACATTTATCCCGCCTGGGGGTTAATCTTTTATTTTGATCACCGACACTACTGGAGGGAGACTTTATGGGCAGCGCAAATAAATAATAGGAGTATGTAAGACGTGAAAGGGGTACAATGAATGGAGATGGACGACTCTTAGGTTAAGGACCAATAGGAGTGGCGCTGAACTCAGTCGGAATGATCAGATAAAATGACACTCGAGGGCATAAGGAATTTAAGCATTAACCTTCGCCCCAGTGGGGGGGGGGGGGCATATGTTACCACCCTGTCGCGTTTTTTGCGTGTAAATAAAAACCGCGGCGCGTAGCTCCGCGTCGCTTCGGGTAGCTTTTGGTACATCAATTTTGGACAATGTGTGAAATTTTTGCCCCAAGTCATGTCAGGTCAGGTCACCAGGTCAAGTTAACTGACCAAGCCTAAAAAAGTTTGCAATCATGTCCAGCCTGCAGTGTTTGTCAGAGAGATTTTAAACTTGGTGGATTGCATGATGTTATGGGTGCCTACAATTTGTATATCTCGGATTTTTTATATCCGTGACCTAAGGTCAGGTCAGTGACGTGACCTTTCCATTATAAGTCAATGGAGAAAAAATGAAAATGCCTCTATAGATCCGTGTGTACGCATAGGAACAGTCCAACTATTTCAAAATCACAATGATTTGGACCACCCGTGACGACCAAGGTGTCTTTTTAGCTGATAGCCCCTAGAAAGGTCATCCGAGGTCATTTGAGGCTACAAACAGATTTTTGCCAATAACTTTCGATTGGAAAGAGATAGAACGCTGGGGATGGTCTCATTGTGTTTGTCTTGCCGAGACGCATCGACTGATACGTAACATGACCTTTTCCGGTCAGGTCATGACCTTGACCTGAGGTCAAATTAAGTTGACCTTTTAAGGTCAAATTATAGTTCATTCGATGCGTCTCGGCGAGAGGAACACGATTCTGGCAATAGAAATGTCGTGGCTTTTTTTTAGTCAAAAGTTATTGTCGAAAAACACTTTTAGTAAAAACAGCTATTTTTTGGAGTTTTTGCCCTCTGGAGACTAAACCGTTGACCTGAGGGCAGTTTTGATGATGACCTTATCGAAAGAAGATGTCAAGAGCTGTCGATTACTTTTCCATGCATTTTTCTAGCTATCATAGTTCTTGAGATAAATGCATGTTTTCTGAAAAACATAATGACGTTTGGCAAATTTTGACCTTTGATGACCTCCAGTGACCCCAATATTGCTCTAAGATGAAAAATGACCTAAATACTTTCAAACGTACGCATTGAGAGCTATCGGTTGCTTTTTACCGCGTCTTTTTAACCCTCTTAGTTTTTGAGTTAGAGATGGGTGGTAACATATGCCCCCCCCCCACTAGGGCGAAGTTGGCTGAGACCGCCACTGGGGCGCGGGTTAACCCGGCACCGCCTGGGCTATTTCCGTACCCACGACAGCCTGGGGGGGGGGGGGTCGGATCCGACTCCCCCTGTTATCTCGAGAACCAATGGTCGTATCGAGCCCCGCGAGGCGGCGTTCGAGAGGTCTCTACGAGACCTTCCCAAAGCACTCTTAAGATTTTAAGATTGAAGTCAACTTTCGGGTCAAGGTCAGGTCAAAGGTCAAATTCAGGGGTTTTGCATGAATCGGCTTACGGACAGCGGAATCGATAGCTGCTGCTCGAAACTCACCAAAAATGACCTCAAAGGCCTAGTGAAGGTACCATGTGCGTATAGGGGTCATACTAAGTACAGGTCAAGGTCAGGTCAGGTCACGAAAGGTCACGGTTTTCACTTTCTGCTACATGGGCGTGCGACACATGTTTTATGGCTTATTTTTCACGCCGAATCCGATGGTAATGGGTATATGTGACCCCAAGTCACTGTGCTGGTGATAAGTGTGCATTGAAAGCATAAAAAATCGTTAATGCTATACATAACTTAACGAGGGCTAAGAAAAAAAATCAATTTTTCAACTTTTTATTGTTGACATAAAAATGCACTTATCTAGACGAGCTTTGTCCCAGGAATCTAGTGGTGCCATTTATTTTTACATGCAATGTTCAGAAGTGCCTCTAATTCACGAAAATGCTTATGACGTCACCATGCCATATGCATGTTGGAGCTATTTTTTACAATTTGGGGGTCAAAAATCAAGATAGAAAGTTGAAATTTGGGGCATCTAATGTTCTAATAGAGCTCTACAATATATATTACGTTTTTTTGGAAATTCCCAAAATTCTGGATTTTATTAGCTGTTTTCCAAAAAATATAGTTTTTTGAATTTTTAGGGGTTCAAAACGCATTTTATGGAAAATCCGAGGTAGCCATTTTAAAGAACTCATTTAGCTGCGTCTTTTCATGTCCTTAATTTGCAATTTGCTTCAAACCCTGATTTTTGGCGATTTTTTAAACATTTACCACTTTTTGACTAAAAACGCCATGTAGTTACATCACTAAAATCGATATATCTAAAAAAATTTGGAAATTTTTCTTAAAAATTGCACAGGAGACGTCAAATTGATGGGGGAGAAGGTATACCAAGTTTCAAGTAGATAGCGAAAGTGGTTCATGAGTTATTCAAGAAAAACGGAGGGGGGGGGGGTTCGGATCCGACCCCCCCCCCCCAGGCGGTCGCGGGTTAATATGTCATTCAACCTAGCAAAGCCGATTCAATGAACCAAGATTGACCAGCCTCAAACAACATAAAGCATCGACTATCACCCGATGCATAATTAACATCAGAGGGGAATTTCTTAACTTT